AGAACGTTTCTCTGGGTTTTTCTATTGAAGATCTGTAATCATATGCTTGAATCATAGAGGTTCGCCGCCGTCTCTGTTCTTGTCTCTTAGTTGCGCCGTTCTCATCTTGCAGGGTTTCTTCAACGTCTTCTTCACATTCATTAGGCGTGGGACCCAACCTCTTTAGGATAACAGGCCCCTTCTTAGACTCCTTTCTTTGTTCACAAATTTGTTGGCCAAATGCGTTTCCATCATCTGTTTCCTTGCTCTCAGAACTACTTTGACCATCAGTCGATGTTTCYGAATTGCACACTTCCTTTTCTGAATCCGAGACTTTTGAACTGATTTCTTCCTGGGGGCAAGTTCTTTCTTCTAAGCAGTTGTTGTTCTCATCAGAGTTTTCGCATGCGCTAGCTCCTTCGTAAACAGTTTCCCTTGAACTCTCTATCAAGCGCGAACAAGAAGCCATATCTGGCTTTGCCGCGGAGCTAGCGGTCAAYCCGGATAACATTTCACTGTKGTTTTGTTTGACGATGTTTTCGGCCTGAACCTTCGTCGACCTACTTTTACTAATTTTAGCATCTGTTATTTCCTGCGGGCATGATCTGGAATGATTGTCATGGCCAACTCGGCCACTTTTAGCAAAACTGACCAAGTTAGGCTCCCTTTGTTCCATTTGAGGCATATCGATGGAGTGATTGTCGTTGTCCTTTTTTGGAAAGTTTGTTTGAAATTTGCTTTGTTCATTGGAAATAAATTCCATGTTTTTCCCCAGGTCTCCTATAAAGGTAGTCCTCGCCTCCAGCTTTGACATTTCTCGCGTCAATACTTGTCCTTTTTTGTTATGTAAAACAGAAGAACTTCTYGTTCGCCTATTACGTCCAGATTCAATGAACTGACTGCAAAATTCATTCTCATCCGTCGCGTCGCCAACGTACTGACGAAGGCACCTGATATCATCAACATTCAGAGAGTCTTGRTGATGTCTTTCCAAGCGCTTCTCGAGGTACTTTCTCTCCTTCCCGTGAGATGTCTTTATCCCATGCTTTGCTAGCTCGAAGCTTTTGCACAGCTTTAAGTGTTCCTGATTCTCTCTAGAGTTTTTCAGATAAATAAGCTTGGCTTTCTGGTTTGAAAGCAAAGAGATTTGACTAAAATCCGTGGGTATTTTCTTCATGACAATTTAAAACGCCTTCCGAATGTGTAACAAGTTTCTTAACCCTTGGTCGGCAGCGAGATTCACGTATGAAAAGCGAGTACAACGAAGTTACAAGTTAATGCGGTCGCGTCTCAAACTTATTTATACAGTCTCCGTAGCTTAAGTTACTTCTTACATCTCACCGCTAAAGGTCAGGAAAGATTCGCCTTCTTGAAAACCAGTATTATTTTACCCCAAGCATGTTCTCCAGACACACATCATTAGTTTGAACTCCGCGATACAACCAACTAACATTTATCGTCAAACAGCGTGATCACAGCCTTTTTTTGAGGTCAACTAAACATGTCTTGCTATGGACAATACTTTTAGACGCCAAATCTGCTAAGAAGCTTAGGGATAAAATATCTATCCGGTATGGAATTCCTCATTCCATGTACAGGAACACTGAGAGCGACGTACGATTAACCACCTTCTTCCTGAGTTAAACCATGCCAGGATCTGAAGTAATCGAATAGCTGATAACCTAATGACTCAACATTTTCTTTCGAATCAAAGTCAAGCAGTCCAATAGATGACATGCAGTACAAGTATGCTCAAGTGTGCTCTCATGATTGCCATGGTTTTTCGATTTGTTTTGCTTGTTTGATGGATTGATTTTTCCCGTTTTTTTAAATAACTTTTTTAGTCTAGTAAGAATCCAAAATAAAATTTAAAAGGAAGACGGTTTTCCTGACCATAAGACGCGCCCTGCTACCACAAGGTTGGGCCAGGCTGGGCGGCATCWTTTTTTATTCGTTTTGTGCTTCATATCTTGCTTTCATATCCTTTTAACTATGATCCTTTTCCTTCCTACGGCTATTCCACGAACAATCAAACTCCTGATTTTATTTGATTACTTGCTCTCCTCTGCCTATTTTACGAGGAAAAACAAAAAGCACTTCCTATTCTTCTTGTTCCGAACACCGCCAGCTGCTTGGAATTCCGGCTCTCAACCATCTTCGACAGTTTGTTCCTCTCTTAAAAGGGTAAAAAAATACTCGTACATTTTTCGAGTGCGCAAATGGATTTTTTTAAGGTTACATTCGCTAAGTGTTTTTTGATGTCAGATACATTGACATACAACTTTCGCCGTGGTATTCATGCTACTTGATATATCTTCACTATATCTAAAGTACACCAGGTCATCACCAAAAACCTGTACTTGAAAATGTAGGTCATTAATTATTTTAAAAAAAGGGGTTTATATTTTTATTCAGTATATTAAGAAACCAGAAGTACTTGACTATTTAATGAATTCGARATTGTATTTTGTCCGTACTTTGGTAAATAAAAATTTGCAACATATCTTCTAGAATATAAAATGATAAAAAATAAAAAAATTATCGATAACATGAAACAGCCTCTGGGCTGATCAAAGTCAGGGTACGGCTAACTCACAGATAGAACCCTGAAACAATCTCTGGGCTGATCTAAGTCAGTGCACGGCTAACTCACAGATAGAACCCTGAAACAACCTCTGGGCTGATCAAAGCCAGGGTACGGCTAACTCACAGATAGAACCATGAAACAACCTCTGGGCTGATCTAAGTCAGGGTACGGCTAACTCACAGATAGAACCATGAAACAGCCTCTGTGCTGATCAAAGTCAGGGTAAGGCTAGCTCACAGATAGAGCCATAAAACAACCTCTGGGTTGATCAAAGTCAATGCACGACGAACTCACAGATAGAACCCTGAAACGACCCTTTGGGCTGATCAAAGTCAGTGCACGACGAACTCACAGATATAACAAGTCAGGGTTGGAAACCTATTGGTATGTCCTCTAAATTGAGCTTCATTCTAATTTAGCTTGTTACGTTTTGCAGAGGCAGGAAAACCGGCGAAAACTATCAAATAAAAGGAGAGCTAACAAACTCTACTCACTGCATATGATGCAGATATCAAGTCATCTCAAGTTGACTTCATGTGGTCACTTTTAAAAGGAATGTATCGTGACTTTAATGAATAGAGTCAGCTACCAGACATTAAAGCCGAGGTCAACTGCCTAATACTTGACCCATTTTAGGCCAAGGTAGTTAAATTTGGGAGAACATCCCGAAGGATTTACGACTTATATAGCGCGTCCTTTCTAT